CAAGAAAGTATGGCCTGTGATTTGTTCATGCTTATGCAATAGCATCAATATGCAGTTTGAACACCTTATAATAGGTCCTAGCAAGTGTTAAAAGCAACTCTTTTATTCTTTCTTCTGGAACCCACATTGGTGACAGTAAACATTACTTAATGGACTCTACAGGAAAAAAAGGTACATATGTTTTGTGCATTTTGAGATGGGTGACTGCTCTGGAAAAATTCATCCACGATAAAGTGCTTTAAAAAGTATGTCTAGGCTTCCCACTTTTTCCCGTGAAATAAAACAGAATAAAGTGTATCAGTGAGACACGCTGTCCGTACCGTTTACTAGCATTTTGGGAAGGATAAGGTTATAGTTTCCTCATTCAGGATGCTAAGACCTCTTCCACAGTGATCAAGAATTCAGTCTCTCATAAACTGATTGAGGACGTTCAGTTAAAATCTAATTTAAAACAGTTATCAGATGACTCTGCCATGTATTGTAATAGCTTCTGACAATACTGCCCACTGCTAGTTTTGCTCTCTCCTCTTTTTGTGGAAGGATTAATTGAAAAGGGGGGACTTAGAGAAAAAACAKGGCCTAACAGAAGTTTGGGCATTACAGAAGCTTGCGTGCAGTGATACTCAGTTGCCACTTCCAGGATGGTTGGTGCACACGGACTCTGCTCCTCCACAGTTCCCCAGGCAGCACAATCTGCTCTCTCTGCAGAGAGGAGTCTCGGAGAGTGGAGCAGAGTGAAGGCACCACGGCCAAACTCTGCTGTGCTCCCGGTGCTGGGCCGCTGATAAGCCACACAGGAGCTGCCTGGTGGGAGATATATGATAAGATGTCTGGTGCTGAGCCAGCAAGGATGGCAAATCATCCTTTCGGATGAACTTTGCTTGAACTTGGCTCATTGTAAGCTCATTATAAGGTCAACACACTTTGATGCAAAAGTTACCAGCTGCGGGAGTTGACCACTCCTCAATGAGCATGCGCTCTAGATTTGCAATTAACTATACCTTTAAATGAAAGCAAGACACCTCTTCATCAATCAATAACAAAAGTGAGTATAACTACAGTCACACACGCTCCACCTAAATGTAAAAATATATAAAGGTGAACTAAGGAGGGAAGACTCCATGGTAACTTCTGGGATTGGTCAATGGATTGATCCCCTTTCCTCCCCTTGGCTCAGGACGCTGCCTGAGGAGACTGCTCGAGACTGAGAGCCCTCTCCCGTCTTCTAGGGTAATGATTGAGCATTTGTACATCAGAACTGGTCAAGAATCCCACGCTGTAGTAGAGCATTTCCTGTACTAACATCTGCAACCTGCTTTGTAAATGCTGCATTTGAATAAATCATGCTGTTTGTGAACTCGACTGCTTGTTTTGAAGGCAATCAGACCTATCTGTCCGATTGTAAATCTGGTGCTGCCAGTCAGGCCTTTGATATCTCTCTTAAGAGATGAGTTCAGCTGCCCCTAGTCCCTTTAACCTCTGAGGATCGGCTGGAACACAAGAGGATTCATCTCTTACCAAAGCCCCTTCAAACAGTAACACTTCTGCAGCCTCTCCAAAGCCACAGATGCCCCGCCTTCCTGTCAGTGACCTSTTGGATACACAGTTTCTGTAGAGATACCCAAGAATGGCAGAGCTTCTGAGATCACACTGACTTTATCATAGGTTTATTTCTTGTAGGTTACTTCAGAGATAGTTTTGGTCTACCACTGTCAAGTAGATGGCCACCTCAAAATGCACTTACTACATTACTGTGGCAAAGTGGACCAATGTGTTTGGATGCGTGAAATACAGACTTCTGAGCAGAAACAGCGAAACAATCTTATAATAACAGGGATACTAGAATATTGTGCTCTGTTCTGTTCTGCACCTCAAAAATAGTATGTCATAGTTCGAAGAAAAGTCACAGGAAGGAAAAGAAATTTGGAAAACAAGCATGGCAGTATGAGTCTTAAGATGGTGAAGTTGCTGAGAACATGAAAGATGGCTGTGTGATGGCTTGGGTTACGTATAGATACTTACAGGTAGAAAAGAATAAGGGCAACTTCTGAGTTTTGCTGAGACATAAACAGTGGCTGGAAGTTCAGACACATTCAACTTTGAAATAAGATTTCATTTTCCTAAAAGTGAGAGCCATTAAACCATAGCAAAGATTAGGGGGGAATGTATTTGCCATCTCTTGAGTAATTAAATTAGATACTTTTCTAAAGAATACAGTTTAACTCAGTTTCTTGTTAATGTTAGTTAGCCCGTGCACATAGGGGTCAAACCAGATGACTAACGTATGCGGAATCATCACTGCTCTTTGGGAGATCACACATAGTGGCTCTGGGAGATCACACATAGTGGCTTTGGAAAAGCAGATCAACTTTCACTTCCCTATACAGGCACCAAAACAGCACTTCTGAGTATTTGACCCTATAGACTAGGGGGCTTAGGATGTACTGGTGTTGAAGCTGTGTCAGAAGGTGATTAGCAATATCCGTGATGGGATTTGCATGCATGTAATGGCTTGCTCTCTTTTCCTTTGCCTGTGTGAAGCAAAGATGAGAGCAAAATGGAATACCCATGAATTTGGGGGGCTAGATTGTGCAGAAACACCATTGCATGCTGCTGAGTGGCAGTGCCTTTCCCCAGAGCTTACACCTTTACAGAGCCTTCCTGAACCYGCAGTGAACCCTGCAGCTGTTGCATTTTCAGTCGTTTGATGAACAGAAGGACAAACATGTGGAGATGACCAGGAAGGAATTTTATACTTTGTAAATGTTTTCAAAATAATTGTCTTTGCATAGTAGATGTTAAGATTCACCACATTTTAGAGAAGTGAGCTCAAATACTCATTAGGAGGTCTTTAGTCTTCTTGTGAAAGCAAGACAGCCATGCTTTTAAATCTTGAATGGTTTTAATCTTTGTTGGGTATCACATCAGTTCTGTAACTGCCTGAGCTTCTCAAAATACCAAATTTTGGATGTGCTTTAAACACTAAATATTTATGCTGTAAAGATGTTTTCACCTTTGAACATGAATGTGCTACATTTCTGTTTTCTTCCCTCAAAAACAATGTTTAAAATGYTAAGGGCCTGGTTCAGCTCCACTGAAAACAACTGAAGTTCTTCCAAGGCTTTCAAGTTCAAGTGCTGAATTCCTCTAGAATCCATTGTTATCATTTCTGTTCCTTCAGCAGTCACAGCCTCCTTTAAATGACTTGTCATTGTTTTCACTAAAAATAAGACTTCATTAAAGCAAAACTGTGTGGTTTAAACATCACAGAATTGCAAAACCTAAAATCCTTATTACCTGTTTAGCTCTTGTGATTCTTTTTTGTTTAACATCAGTGAGCTTATATGCAATTGTCATAATGTTAAGATATATGTTTTAAAGGCAAGTCAACTTCATGTTCCTTTTATATAGAATCTAAAGGCTGTTGTGCTAATTTCAATGGAATGAGGGTGCAAGGAAGTCTAAGATGTTAAGAGCAACTTTCATTGTATGCAGATCAATTTTGGACAGATGGAACAGGTTGGGCAGATGGAACAGAGACTTTGCCCTGCTTTTTCCTTTGGCAGTGGTTTGACATTCAAACACAAATCTGCCTGCTCTTTATTGAATGCTTCCAGAAATGAGGGAGAAAGAGGGATGATRGTTAAAAACAATGAAAGGGATAAGATTTCAGGTGAAGGTTTGAAATCTTCAGCTAAAGCAAGGTTCACCATGTCACCATCCTTACCATTTCAACATTTGACACTATTTCAGCTGACCCTGAGAGCAGAAATGAGAATTGCCGTTTGTGGAGAAAGACGGTGAATAACCATAAAGGACATAGGCTGCTGTTCCTGATGCTGAACTTCTCTGAGGGATAAACAAGACATGCACAGGAGAAGAGAAAGATAGGAAAACAGAGAGAAAAAACAAAAAACAGAAAACAACTTCTGTTTCTAATATTGACTCTTAAAAGTCAGAAAAAGCTCAGAGTTACTTTTTTTTTTCTTGATATAGAAAGCTTCAATTAAATCACCTCATGTGTGCTTTCCTCCTTTCTTACTTCACACAGAAAAGGTTACAGTCATCACAGTGCAAATTACATTGCCTTAGCTAAGCCAGCCCTGCCCTCCCTTTTTTGAAAAGTAGAGAGCGAAATAAACAGAGGGAAAGAAAATAAATGGTGGGGAAAGAGAAAGAGATGAGTGAAGCACTGAAGACAGAAGCGCATATCTGATATTGCAGATTTTGGTGGCAATGGCAGTGTCTTGCTTTCCCGAGGGAGGAGCAGACTGGCGTGTCACATCAGCTAGGCATGGTCTTATCGGACATTTAAGTAGAATGGTCGAGTTAGATGGTCTTTCTTGCACTGGTTCAGTTAACGAGAGAGACCTTCTTCGAGTCTCTATCAATATTTGTTGTTTCTCTCAGACTTCAGCCAATTTCTRTAGTCTTTTCACAGATAAGTTCTGTATTTCCAATATTCCAATAATTTCCAGTCATTATAAAATGCCCCGAGTGACTGTTTTCCCTCTGTTTACCAAGTACTAAGGCTTATGTTCCTGAGTGGAAACAAAATAGTCTCCTGAATGGCTGCTGCAGGTAGTCATTTGGACTCAGTTGTTCTCTATGTTTGCYTAATAAACAAATATGCACAGATACACACACATATTTGTAACATTTAACATTGGAAATACTGGATTTCCAGCAGAAGAAGCGAGTTTGAATGTTTGTTACTGAGRATCATGTTACCGTCTGCGAGGTTAGTCGCAACTGTACAATTTGAGTGTCAGATTTTATCCTATTGATTAGCTGTTTTGTTTTCCTTGGAGCAGGCCATGGAGGGAAAATTCTGTGGAATCTCAAGTTTCTTGATAAAGAGTGAAATAACAGCATGGGCCTTTCATAGCCTGGATGAAATCATGGTTTCCAGGGAGACCTGCAGCTCGTTCGCTGCAGCCAGCAGGCTGAACTGCCAACTGTGGCGGATTACATAAGTTGCCCATCCTATAGAGTTTTCCAGCCGTTCGCTTGTATCCGTCGCACATCTCGCATGCTGCGGTAAGGCTTCTTTTTTCTTTAACCCGTAATAGCCARTTACCATCACCTGGCACAGCATCTTCTTGGAGTGGGAGCCAATCCAAGAACTGCAAAGTGCCAGAATAAACTGGGCTTGGAAATACAGGCTGTCTGGGACTTCAGAGGCTGGATGAATAGGAACTTTCTTTGCTGCAGGAGGCCGGAGGAGTCTGTGGGTTTGATGTGCTTTCCTGATTCAGATGAAAGATAAACAACTCATCCCACTCAAGAGAATTCTTTGGTTTCAGTGATACGTGCCTTTTTTGCCTGGTTTAAAATTGCCATCAGCTGCTTACATTGGTCTTTGATGTGCAGCATTGGTTTCTAATGAAATATATCGGCTCACCTATTTTCTGGTCCTGTGTGTTTGCAATATTCAAGCACAGCTTAATGTGAAATACCTCCCTTTTCATGTACTGAAGATCTTGTTGGTGTAAAACCTTCTTTCTGAAATCCAGCCAAAGTCTGATAATTTCTTTAATCCTCTCTGCTCCTTTATTTAGAAATGAATACATTATTTATTATCCTTTATAATCCTTTATCCTCAATTATATCCTTGATTTAATCAAGAATGTATTATGCAGCAATTATCAAAGCTGTAAATCTGGAGTCACCATGTAACCGTTTAATCTAACCATGTAGTCTAAATTTCTAYGGGGTTAGTTTTTGTTTGCTGAGTACTGCTAACAGTGGAAATCATAATTATCTTGCAAAATATTTTCACTTAAATTATTGCCTACTGTTTGTTTTCTATTAGCTATTCATAAAATGTGTTTTGGGGTGAAGATCTGAACAGTTTGCTGTGTCAGTAGTTTGGGCAATGSTTTTTTGGACCGTTCGATTGAACAATTTTAAGGAGGGCTTTAGGCTGTGGCTGCAGCACAAATGAATGAATGTTGGATGTAAACACGAAGCTGGTGGTGGTGCTTTCAGCGGGACTCTGGGGAGAGAAGCTGAGATAACGCATGAGTGGTGGGAACAGATCCCGGGAGCGCGCGCTTGGCGGGCCTRGGAGTTTCTCCTTTGCTAAACATGACTCGTGTGTGAGGAGATGAGGCTGCTGCATCTCCATCACGCAGGAGGGAGCGTTGGATGTCGCTGCGAAGCCCTTTCCTGGCTGCCGAAGCCCTTTCCCCTTGTGCGGCCTCCAGAGAGATCGTCCAGCTCTGCCAGGCGCTCTCCGTCCTGGAAGTGTGTTCACTGGGTAGGCTGGGGGCTTTATCCAAGGTTTACTGGGATCACGCAGCATTTGGGTGCTTGGGCTGCCCGAGTGTTGCAATGGAAGGAGGGAAGTGAAAGGAAAAGCAGCAAAGGAGCTGCAGGAGGAAGGGAGCGAAAGAAATCCCCATTAGCCTGTTTACATTTGGTAGTATCCACTCAATTCTGACATAAGGGAATAAAATCTCTCTAACTACATACTCTTAAATKCATCCTTTGCATAGCCGTGTGCACAGATGTAAAATCAGTATAGATGCTGCCTAGCCAGAGCAGAACTGCTTTTTAGCTACTCTTCATTCCTCTTACACTTGTAGCAAGCACATTGAAAAATGGAAGAAAATTCTCCATACATGTTACTTAAACATATAATAATCCTCTCTCCTGACCTCTTGAGGTAAAAACTTACCTAGACATACTCTGTAATCCTCTGTTTAATGCTGTGGAAGACTTCCTGGAAGAATGTAATTAYACTGTGATTATCTCAAAATAGCCCACTCTGACACAGAAATGTAAAGAATCAGTGTGGGGAATGCTGATGTACTTTTTACCATGGGACGTCTTCTCAATTTGTGTACGGGCATGCACTTTCATACATCTGTGCTTGTACAAACCAAGCCTAAACTACAYGATGGCTTCACAGTTTTACCCATTTGGGGAAATTCTGTGGTTCTTTTTGATGACAGTGAGTGTAACATCATCAGTTGTGTCCACCAAAAAAGAAACAAACAAAAAAAAAGGAGTAATATCTGGTCTAGGMAATATGAATGTAAAGTAGGACTGAAATCCAAGTGGAAAAAAGCACAGGTTCAGCTGTATTAGTTGTTAAAAGTAATTGACTTGAAGTAACTTCAGAGACTTGTTTGGGATTCATACCATTAGGTAGAAATATGAATAAACAGAGAAATATACATTGTCCCAATGTTTTATTGGTAAGACACAGTAATTTTGAAGACACGGAGATGGAATATAAAAAGAAGGTGATGCAGTGTTACATTGCTTTTCCATATTATTTAATGCATGTAAATCACAATTTCTAGAGTTGCTTTTCCCCTGCATTATAGTTTCTATGTTATTGCATAAGTAAAGAAATGCAAARAATCTTCATTATGCCTTTTCAATCATTATAACCATAACGTTTTAATATTTGCTCCCTTGTAAGCCAAGCCTAACGATCCCTAGCTGAATTAAGAGATGTTTATACAGTGATGTAATATGAGAGAAGTGTTAATTTATACTTGGAYGACAACGTGATGTACATAACCTTTAGTCTGGTTGTTTTTTGGAATGCTGGAAAAGGTTAAAATCATGCCCTTCCCAGCTGCCTTCTTAGGCAGTAGCTAGCAAGAGGGAAAAAGGAGAAATGACCTCTTCCTTTGGCACCCTCCCATGTAGTTCTTGAGCAAGAAATCTTTATGCTACAAAGAGAAGCCAGAGATTTCAGAGAAGGGGAATCTCTCTGTGTCTGTCCGTTTTCCAGGTTTTGGATAGTGACAAAACTGCACTGAAGAGCAAATATTTTTGATTCTGGAAGATTCCAGGTTGCTCTAAATGGAAAGTTTCTTCTGAAAGTATTTCTAGGAAGAGTAAAGTGATATACTCATCTGGGCACTGGACAGCTGGGTGTGGAAGGCCTGGATTGGTAGACTCCCTTTTGAGACACAAAAGATGCTGCTTAAATGCAAAGTGGAAATGCTTCTTCAGCTGTTCAGGCACCTAAATTTCCTACTGAACACTTAATTTGAATGTGAGATTCTTTTGCTGTGCACGCATAAAGGTGAGACTGTTGTTATTCGAACTCCCTGGTATTTTTGAGTAGCAGTACTGTTTTGGGAGTTGCATGTTGCAAAACCCAGTAGTGGCTGTTTGCTGCATTAGTGACTGCACCAGATGTCCRCTGTGTGGAGACCTGAGTTCAGTCTCCTTCCTAATCTAAATTGTTGACTTGCTTGCTAGCATAAAAGCTCCAGCACTGCAGATTTGCAGTACCCAAAAATGCATTGAAGAAGCCTTTGCAGTTGCAGGATGAAGCCGTCTGGTCAGTGGGAATGGGCTGAAGTCATTAATTTTCAAATCTTGATGAAGTTTCCTTTTATACTTGTCCGAATGTGCATTGGGAGAACTCCCAATGTACCTGTTTGACCGTGTGTTCATGATATATTGGCTGGTGTGAGCAAGCTCAATGTGACCCTCCTACTCATGTTCCCTTGGTGAGRAGAAAAGCAGCATGTGCTGCCTCTGCTTGCTTTGGTCTTTGGTGGTGGTGGTCTCCCTGAGCAAGACAGACTCTCTTACCCGGGGCGGCATTTTCACTAATTCCAAACATCCTTTTTGCTCTCAAAGTGCCATGTGAAATAGCGAGATCAAAAGCTTACAGGTGAGATTGGAAGAGTGACCATACTGAGTCAGACTAAAGGTCCACCCAACCCAACATCCTATCTCAATTACCGCCTGATAGATCTGGACTGCTTTAAAATTCGCTGTTTAAATTTAGCACATCGCTCTGCCTGCTCAGTGCTGGAACAGACTTAGGGTCCCCGTACTCCTGTAGCAGGGTGAGGAGCTGGCACTACTCTCCATACAGCACCAGCAGCAGAAAGTTGGTGTGAGGAGCCCAGCTTAGCTGAACTCCCAAGGGCATAGCAGGGTGAAGCAGAGGGTGCTTCAGTGGACCACTGCAGAGGCAGATTTCTCTGCTTTTCTCTTACAAACCATGGGGAGGGAAAGGAAAYGATCAGCAGTGATGAATTTTCTGTCTTTTGGCAAAATGGCCAATCCTGGGCTCATATTGCTGGTGGCCCCTCCGTGGTAACACCGAGGCACTTTGGCAAGCATTTTCTGTAAGCAGTGTCAAGAACTCTTCTGTTGCTTCTGCTATAACTACTGGGTAGAGAAGATGCAGAAGTTTGGTCTCCAGCATTGTTGGTTTGGCATCTCTTTAGACYACTCGAATGTCAGTGCTATATAATTATTCTCTTTAGACTAAATTGCAAACTCTCTAATTCCTGGAATCCTTACAGGCTGCTGGCTTAAGCCTTGAGCTTATCCCTTTAATTTTGGTTTCTGTTAACAAGTCTGGTTTGGACAACTGAATAGTTATTTGGCTTCATAGTTATAATGAATTTCTCAAGTCTAGTATCTCTTTTTTTTCAGGTTTTGCTGTTAATGAAATACATAAGGACTGTCACAAATAGATGGGAAAAATGATTTGTGGAGAGAATAGAGTTTAATTGAGAATATCAGATATGCGTGTTCTGCTAATTCTTTTACTGGCTTTTCTGTTTTTCTGAAGAAAYGTAAGCTGGAGCCTGATTTTCACCAAGAGAAAGCTTATTCTGACGCAATAGCTTACCTTACCTTCTTATATTATAAACCTTGCTTGCCCACTATTTAAACACTTAAGTTAGTAGTAAACAGATATATCTGGGATGGGAAATTACTATGTAATCTACTTTAATGAAATCGTTACCTCAGTATCTATGTAGGTTGCATGTTTTCATTTTGGAACCGTGTGACTTAACGTCCTTAAACCCTAAGTCCTTCAGCTGGTTTCTCAACCATTCACAGGGTAATATGAACAAGAAGTAAGGTGTTAGAGTCTCTAAAGGAGGTATTTGGTAGCATAATAGTTATGCTTTTGCATCAGTAGTATTTTGTCAGTTACTTAATTAGTAATAGCATATCCTGGAATCTGAAAACGGCTCCTAGGTTGTGAGGAATTTTCTTAACGGAATGACTTTCTAAGCAGTTGAAAAGCACAACAAGCTCTGAAAAGCCCCAGTAAAATGGTATACTGCTTTTCTGGCACATCTTCCATTTGGCAAAAACAGACCAAGAACCTACCAGGAACTGACTTGATAATGAAATTGCTACTGTTCTGTTTATTCTTATCTCGTTATGTCTTTAGGAGTAAGGGTTTATCTTTAAGTGCTTTGGAACGTTGTTACAGATAACAGCTTGCCAGCAAAGTGATGGATGCCCATTCAGTGACTGTTCAGCAAATATATGGCATTTATTTCACATTACTCCCTTGACTACTCTTGAGAAAGGAAACACTTTTGTACCTATTTACCTACCATTTACCTATTTCTTCTCTTAAGAGGTCCTTAAAATATGCCTAAAAAATAATTCAGAGCATGCCTGTTTTTGGAGGACAGTATTTTCTGGTATATCAGGAGTTTTGTAACGGGCAGTGGTACCTTCCTACTAGTAATGTAGTTCACCACTTGCCTACTTTGAAGAATTCATAAAGGCTAGTGATTCAGAAAAGGGTAAATACACACAATTTATATCTCCCTCTCCCTCCCATACATTCACTTTTTATTTTATTGTTAAGTAAATATTTTTGAATATATTTGAGCGTTTGAATGAGTATGTAGGTAAGTTTGTTATGGGTATAAATAAAAGTTTATGACTGGAATAGAAAGATATGAGAAGGCTAAGATTCATGTCCTTATTMAAGGAAGGCATTTCAGCTGTAGGAAGTAGGCTGAAAAACAGAGTGCAAGAATGTTAATGATAAATTAATATGTAATAGATAAAGACTAATATGACTGACAGAGCAGAAGCTGAGAAGAGAAATGTTTAAAGTGCTTTAGCCAGATGCAAGATACTTAAATACATAAGACTTTAAGTGATGGTGCAAGGAATTGGCCCTTAATTGGCCCTGAATTTATCATTCACGTTATTTATTTATTTATTTATTTAGTTATTTATTGTTCATGGTTTAAAGATTAGCCCATAGATGTGGTAGGTAAAATTTGAAGAGAGTGAGTTGCCTGGCACAAACAGCCCAAAAAGCTGTTGTTTCGAGTGCAAGTGAATAACGTGGTGTGGAAAAGTTTGCTATTAAAATATGCAAAAAATATTTTCCAATTAGTCTTAAATTCTGCCCCTGCTATATTCATGACATCCAGTGCACCAAATCTACAGCTTACATGAACATACACCACCTTGCATAGCTTAGTAGAAATGCATTTATTCAAACCTATAGTAAATTTTCCCTTTGTGAGATTGTTCATATTTTGTAACTGAGGATGAAATATAGTCAGAGAAATGGCATGTTGCCTAGAAGGATGAAAAGATAGAATACAATAGAGATTCAGTATGTTTTTTTCCTCTTCTGAGTCTTGAAATAAATTGATCTCTAAAACAATACTCCAGAAATATGTCTCTTTTCATGATGAATCTGTTTTTTAATGCAGTAAATATGGAGTAAGTTATAAATATGGCTGAATCCTGGTAAATTTGTTAAAATAATATTTACGACGTTGACATGAGGCCAAGACTGTCTGCGTTCCCTATTGGGAATATAATTCACAGACAAGACCATGATAGCAAAGGAACAAAAAAAAAAAAGATAAATGAAGCCAAATCTTCCCATTTAGGGGCTGTGATTTATGTGAGGGGACGGCCCCTGGGATGTCACGGGACATGGTGGTGGGCCTGGGGACACTGGAAGGGGCTGGGGAATTGCGTTTCTGGTCATGGTCCTGTGACTCCAGTCCCGGACTCCCTGGCACAAAGGAGGCCGGTGAGTGGGTCGAGGCTGCAGTGCTGTCTCCCAGCGCTGGATACAGGAAAGCTCGCCAAATTTTGGTGTAGGGGCAGGAATGGGCTGGTGGTGGGCTGGTGGTTGGTTGATGTGAGTGTGAGCAGGAGGGTAACCTCCATCTGTGCATGACTCGTGGGAGAGGCATGGGCCTTGGGAACAGCAAGATGTCCCACAGGGACACTGGAACTGCTGGAGCTGGAACTGTTCCCTCAGGGACGTTGTCGAATGCGAGAGTGAAAAATCCCTATTTTGGACGTAGGTGCCTGCCTGATGTGTTTTGTCTGAGCCGCACTGCAGACTGGCCTCATGTCTGCTCTTGTGTCCAGGCAGACCTGGATTCAGTTCAAGGCTGTTCTTCATGCCCTCCGTTTTAAAACCTGGAAATTTGGGTTTTGTTGGAAATATAAGGGCRTAATTGCATTTTCGTTTCATTTGTTCCTCTTCTAGTCTAATATCAAGACCCTGAGAATACAATACACATGGCACAGATCGTAACACTTTTTGAGACGCTTTTAATTCTGCTACTTCATGATTACATCTCAACTGAAGATGGTGAAACAAGAGCAAGTAAGTCTTAACATTTACATTCTGGATAATGGTAATTTAAGAAGCATGCATTAAATTTGTAATGTCCACTTTCAGATCTGTGTGTATATTGCTTTTTTTTTTCAGTATAATTTTACTGGTGGATACACCATGATGTGGAAGTAACTTCAGTATCTTATTTCTCATTTAGGAAGGGAATATCTTTATTTCTTTTAGAAGACTAACCTGATTATATTCTCTTGGAAATGTTCAAGGAGGCAGATGGCCCTGTAAAACTCTCATCTCAATTTAAAGCTATATCTTGATTGCTTATATTGTTTTTTCTTCAAAGGTGTTTTTTGTTTTCTTCTTCAAAGATGTTTTGCATTGCTTAAGAATATGTAAGGGAGTTAGGACAAATCAGAGCTCTTCTTTCAGTTGCAGAGCTGCAGCCTGTACCAAAACCACACATACAGCAAGACTTGGCCAGCCCCTTGACCCCATGTGCCAGTGGATCCAATTAGCCTCTCCTGTTGGTTGTCATCTCACCAGCACCATGGGTGCCAGTTACATGTGCTCCTTTTAGAATCCTTTTGGACTTGCTCCTGCAGAGAGGAATTCCCTCTGGGCAAGGATGTGCCTGCAAGGTGGAAAGGACCATCCGGTAGATCTGCCCACGTTCTTCCAAGGGCTACAGTTGGCCAATTGATCTAAAAGCTCAATTTTTAGGTAGCTGCAGTTAGGTGAGCTGAATCCATACCTAGGTCAACATGCAGCTCTTTCTAAGGAGAGAGCATTACRTTTGTGAAGTAATGACATAATCTTATATTTTGCCAGAATATGATGCCAGCAACATTCAACTGAGATTCATGATATTGTAATAACAAGTTCTATGTGTGTGCAGTGTAGCTGTGTTCTGGAAGTCCATTAAAATATATTTGTAGAAGGAGTGAATATTACTGCTTAATTCTGGGTCATTCTGGTTATGGTCTTCCTCCCCAGTGTGCTTGGTTTGTTAACAAAAACAAGTTTTTTTTTGCTAACAAAAACAAGTTTTGGATTTTTTGGGTTTTGGTTCTGCAGACAAATAGAGATATGGGAAAAACAAATATGTATTCCTCCCTGCTGCTTGCATAAAACATAACTGCCAGTTAAAGAATGGAATTCTTTAAATTTTCATAGTTGTTGCTGGTGATAATGTCAAAACCAGAAAATGACATGGTTTTCAGATGCAAAGTTGAATCTGTGTGGCTTAGTGAAACAGTCTTGTTTTTGCTGATAACTCAGCTGACTTATTTTAATGGAATGTAGGGTGGTTTTGTAGATATGGGCTCTAACACAATCAGTAATTGTATGAAAAACAATTTCCTGAAATAGATGGATTCATTTAAATAATGATTTTATTTATTTATTTTTATTATTTTTTCCTAGGTTGCAGAACTGCTCCAGCAGATTTAGTGTTTATCTTAGATGGCTCTTACAGTGTTGGCCCGGAAAACTTTGAAATAATCAAAAGATGGCTTGTCAATATTACACAAAATTTTGACATAGGACCAAAGTTTATTCAAGTTGGAGTTGTCCAGTACAGTGATTACCCTGTACTTGAAATTCCTCTAGGAACTCATGAATCCACTGAAAATCTGATCAGGGAAATGGAATCCATACATTACTTAGGAGGAAATACAAAAACAGGAAGAGCTATTCAATTTGCCTATGACCATCTTTTTGCAAAATCCTCAAGATTTTTAACAAAAATAGCAGTTGTTCTCACTGATGGGAAATCTCAAGATGAAGTCAAAGATGTAGCAGCAGAAGCAAGGAAAAATAAAATCACTTTGTTTGCTATTGGTGTTGGCTCGGAAATTGAGGAGGATGAACTTAAAGCTATTGCCAACAAGCCTTCATCAACTTACGTATTCTATGTTGAAGATTACATTGCAATATCCAGAATTAAAGAAGTTATAAAGCAGAAACTCTGTGAAGGTAAGTAAATGATCACAAAGTATTTATGAAAGTTTGGAGCATGTAGTGAGGTACCCATATGTCTTTATTTCGTAAGCAGACATGTTGGTGAATGTAGCCTAAAGCACTTGGCAAGTTTTTTTTTTATGATCATGTCTTGATTTTTATGTTTTTTGTGGAAATTCTCCCAAAATGTTAGCTTCTGTGTTAAACAAAGACGTGCATTTGGAAAAGATTCGATGTGTTAACACAGTACGTGTTTAATTTTAATATATGGAAGTTTGTCCTCAGTCACTTTTTTAAGAAAAAAAAAAAAAAAAGAAAGTTTTGAACCTTGAAACAGTTGAGCAATTGTTATAGTGGTGAGAATATAGGGCTTACTTTAGCCCTTTTCCCAGGTGCAGTTAATAATCGTGCACAATCAAACAGAAATTATCTTTTCTTCTTGTCAGTGGGTAGCAKAACCTATCATTATGCTCAGCAGTTCTTCCGCTAGTACGTGTTGAAAAACCCAGAAGAGACACTTCTGGCAAAAGTGCCTGGAAAAGTAACAAGCTGTTATGTTCTTTCCTGAAAGACTTTTATCGAAGAATTAGCCAAGACCAACATCATAAACTTGACTTTTTCATTTTAGAATGCCAACAGCATTACTGCATTGAGTTCTTGATAACTTTGTAAAGAAATGACTTTCCTATCTTAAAAAAAAAAGCAAATACATCACTCAGAAGGACTGTGTTACACAGTGACTATGTACGTGTCAGTGTTATCTTGTACCTGTTTTAGTATCAGGAATTGATGCAAGTCATATTCAATTGTACTGTATTTCTGCACTCAAAGAAGTGAAAAATAGTTTTCAGTTATTCTCACTTTGACCATGCACTTCTTTCATAAAGTATGGTGATATTTATTTTGAGGTTAGTAGTATTTATTTCTTGATACCTTTAGAGGAGTCATCATAATTCCTTGTACCTGACACAATAAAGAGCCACCAAATCAGCTCAATGCAGTTAAATTCTTTAATAGTCTCTCATGCTGGGAGAAATTTCCCAAAGTAAACACAATAATTTATTTAAATAAAGTTTAGAAGTGACATGATACTTCATGAGGATGCATTTCTTTCAAAATAAAATTAACAGAAGTCTTAAAAATTCAGCTGCCCTATTTGACTCAACTCTTCCAGCAGTAAACTGTGAAGGTTGATGACAAATACAAAATAGTGGTTTTTTTTTTAAAATACTTACTATTTTACTTTAAGTGACCCTTGGCTTCCATTCTCTTAACGCCCTGCTTTTTCCTAGCATTAGCATTTTGAGCTGCCTCTCGCAAAGAGTGGTCAGTGCCAATTGGCAGCCTCATTTCTAGCTACAGTGTCTTTAGCAGGTGARTTCAAAGACTAGTAAGCTGGAAAATTTATATCTGAGTGGTGGATTGTTTAATGCACATGGTTAAGTTTCATGTCGACTTCTGAGAGGAAGTTGTATAATGATGAAGCACCAATGAGATGCCTGTGATCAACCATATGAAACTTCTGAAGGTTTTGTACTTGTGTCTTGGCCATACTTGACTTTTTTTTTTTTAAAAAAAAAGCTTTTACTCTTTGATTTTGTTAAATTTGTACAATTTGTACTTTAATTAACATATATATAAAGGCATAGTGGAAATACTCTGCTTTGAAAGAAGGAGGCTGAGATTTGGTGGCTCTTGTAGCAGTTAGCACTGGTGTGGAGCACCTTGCAGACAGAGGGCTGTCATTTGTCTGTCATTTGTCTGTCATTTGGGGACTCTACTGTTCAATTTAGAGTATGTTAGCATGAAAAAAAGCTGATTAATCTGTGAAGAGAGGACAGTGGTGTCTGAAAGAATAGTGTCTAGAGGGGTCCCCAAGTATTTATTTTTTTTCTTTATTTTTACTCTCTTAAGCTTCTATAGCTTTGATATTCTCTAGTCAAATGTAGAGAAAAGTTGTATGTCAGGAAGGCATTTAAAAGCAATAGTCGGTGTAGGACTCGGAAGCATATGAGGAAGATTTTGAGAAAAGTTAATTTGCATTGGATAATGGAATTTCACATCAGAATTCTAGAAAGAAAAATCAAATATGAAAAAGAAACCAGATATCAATTTAGAAATTTGCTGTGATTGATAGAGGCGCTTAGATGAGACACTGAGGGACCAGTTTGGCAGGCATGGTGTTGAAGGGCTTATGGTTGGACTGAATGATCTTAAAGGTCTTTTCCAACCATTATGTTTCTATGATTGTTCTTCAGTTCTTCTTACGTAATTTTAACAAAATGAGAAGATATTTACTTTCCTTTCGTTGYTTTATTACTCTACTATAATGTTGGCTTTAGCATTAAGTTTCATTTTCTTTCAGCCTAGTATTGTTTCTGTGTGAAAAGAGCTGAACAGAGATAATGTTCAGCCAGCTTTACTTTCCAAAGAAAATGCCTCACATAGTCTTTGTCCAGTGGATTACAGTATAATAGACAAAATGGATTAGAGGCCATCTTAAGTGAAAGAAGACAAAAAAAAGTTGTAAATTAATTTTATCTTTTTTTCCACTTTCAGTGTGATTTCACATTTGAGAGGCTGAGTTAAGCCAAATCATTGGGGCATCAAGGAAATTAAAAACTGGAGTTTAGTAGCATTTTGCAACTATGTTGAGGACTTCATAACCATATTTTATATTGTAATTCTTTTGTAATGCAGTTAGCCACAATTCAGAATAGTATGTGAATCTAATTGGAGGAAATTCCAACATCTCAATATTCTCGCTTCCTCTTTCTTAAGGATTCTTCATATCTCTTCTCTTTTGCTGTACTTAACTGGCAGTTCTTTCTGAAAAGTCAGCTACAAAAAAAGTAGGCAAGTAGGATTACTTGTATTTGAAAGGTTTAATTATATTTTGAACTACTCTTGCCTTTACTACTTTGCAGAGTCTGTATGTCCAACAAGAATTCCAGTGGCAGCTCGAGATGAAAAAGGATTTGACATTCTGCTAGGACTCGGTGTGAAGAAGAAGGTTAAAAAGAGAATTCAGATACCAACTACCAATGCCAAAGCTTATGAAATAACCTCACGTGTTGATCTGTCAGAATTGACAAGGTATTTAACTTTATAGAAGTTAAATAAAAGTTAAATAAAAGTGCTAAGTTTAGCAACATTTTTGTTGTTTGAAGTACAATAGACGTGTTTTAAGATTTGTACAAATGTACAGCTGTGATCTTTTCTTTCCCCCTTCCTTCTCCCTTAGGGATGTGTTTCCAGAAGGTCTGCCTCCATCATATGTATTTGTTTCCACTCAGAGGTTTAAAGTAAAAAAGACATGGGATTTGTGGAGAATTCTAAGTCTAGATAAGAGACCACAGATAGCAGTCACTATCAATGGAGAAGAGAAAACGCTGTCATTCACGACAACAAGCTTAATAAATGGAACCCAGGTTATTACTTTTGCTGACCCTCGTGTGAAGGTAAGGAATAGGTTGACATCCCACTGGAATACTTGTACATTTTTTTCATTTATTTATTTATTTATTTATTTATTTTTTAAGTATGATCTCATATTTGGCTGCTTAGGTATTTAGACATAGATGCTAGATGCTGGGTGCTTTACCCATCTTTCCTTAGTGTCCACAGAGTTCATCCATGAAAACGCTTTGCACGTGCTTTCTGTTCAGCAGTTTCCAGCAGGTATCTGTGAAAGTGAAGAGTTGTTTGCACACAGCTTATTTCTCAACATATGCATTAGCTGGAAAGTATGATTTGCCTTTCATATAAAGACCAGAAAATGTGAGGAAAAATGTTCTTTTTTTTTCATAGAGGTTTGATTAAGCTTCTAAATTCCTTAAAAATACATAGTAAGAAAAAAATAACATAATGAAAGGAGTTATTTTCTTCATTAGAAGGCAGGTCAGCAGCTTGCAGGAGTTTGTTTTGCATCTGTCCGGTGCTCTCTTGAGTAGTAATTCCTTTCAGCTCATTTTTTAGATTGTCTCGGCTCATCTCCACTGAATGAGGGTCCCCTTCCTTGTCCAAAACATTTTTGTTTTCTCAAGTTCCACAATCTGCAAGTTCCCTGCCTATCTGGGAAGTATAGTGAAGCAGTGARGTATTCAGCTGTGTGAGAAAGATTATCTCACTTACAGGACAGACACAGAGGGAAGGAGAATGAGCGTCTGGACTCTTGTATCTGTAGCAGCAGTATGAGAATAGAGCAGCACAGGAATACAGAGCCTGGAGTTTCCCTTTCCTACCTTAGGGAGTATTTTCTTAAGTCAAGTAAGAGGCACAATTCAGGAAAAAAAAAACCACAAGAAAAATTTACCCTTAGAATACTTAGTGTCCCAAGTGGTTTCTGGTTTTCTGGGAAGCGTTGGCCTGGATTTGTTTCCTTCAAATCAAGCTGAAGGCATTTTAATGACAAGTCCTCAGCTGTCCAAGAGAAGATCTTAATTACTCAGCTTTAGATGAAGGGGGTATTTCCTTCTGTTAACAAATAGGGAATTTTCTTTCAAAATTTCCTCTACCGTATTTTTTTAATACGAGTTATTTTTAATTTCATTTACTAGAAATCCTGAGAAATTTTGAGACCAAGTCAGTCTGAAATTGTTTGATTAATTTGCCAGAGTGAAAAGAATCCATTTTATTCGTGCAGTCCCAAGTTTCAATTAACTTCAACCTGAAAATAAGCTTTTTTTTTTTTTTCTTTCTCTCTCCTGTCCTGTTTCTCTATGCACCCCATTAGGAAAGTGGAAATATTTTATATTYTGATTTGTTTATTTTTACCTCACAATGAGGTCCATTATAAATACATAAAATCCAAGTCTACAAATGAAAATAACAAAGAGGCAGAGATATTATCTGAGGGTGTGTACTAGCTAGTACAGAAAGTGAGACTGGTTTCTGATTATGCCTACAAAAGGTGACARCATTATGAAATGTACAGGCATGTTCATGTTTCAACTGCTCTTAGTTTACCAACCTTGTATGGAATTAATTACAATTCAAATTAGCTATATCAGGATTAAATAGCTAGATTTTTAAAATTTTATTTTTAATTAATGGATAGGTTCAAGGACGTGACATTTCTTTCATTTCATTTCATTTGTATGATAAATCTGGTGATGATTTCTCTGAAGGTATCCCTCATTCTTTGTTACCTGTATAGACAAGCTAGGTTATTTGTTTAGACTAAATCTTAAACCTGTAAATAGAACAAGTTCTGTAGGATGATTCTCATACTTAATCTTTTTTTGTTGTAGTATTTGTGATTCTTTCTGCTAATCTCATGAAGCAAAGAAGTTTTACAGTAGTTTAAATTGGAGGTATTTTGTTTCAAGCATTTCTGTTTTCTTCACTTTTCTTAGACATTGTTTGATGAAGGCTGGCATCAAATCCGTCTCTTAGTAACAGAAGAGTTTGTAACTTTATATATAGATGATCAAGAAATTCAAAGGGAGCCATTACATCCTGTTTTAGGTATTTACATCAGTGGCCTAACTCAAATTGGAAAGTATTCTGGGAAGGAGGAAACGGTACAGGTAAGCATGCATTGGAAACACAGTAGTTTCAGTATCTCACTAATTCAGCAATCCTGCTGCAGGATAACATTTTCAYTGCAGCCTTATGTTTTCCTGAACTTACTTCTCTAACTTACTGTGAGTGGACATTGAATATATAACATTTTAGTAAAGAAAGAAGTTACCTTCCTCCGAAATAGTAGGAATTCTCAGGAGTTGGAGTGCTTAGCTGGTCTTGCTAGGTTCAGGGTGTATCTGTTTGTGCTGCAACATTAATTTCATGCCATGTGCCGCCCTAAATTTGGGGTTAGTGTCTCAGAAAAGGGGATCTGCTGTCTGTGTGACACTTGCACATCATTTCCTTGTGTCAGTGTCAGTGTATGGGGTAATGCTGGRACATGAGTGAGAGAGCAGCATTTTCAAGAAGCACCAGTCTCATCATTGTCCATCAGAAAATACAAGGCATATAAATTCAGTTTCTCTCAAACTGCAAATACTTGGTGTGTGCCAGTAGCTCTGTGTGAGGCTGCAGTGCTGGAAGGGAMCCTGCAAAAATCCTTGCAGAGATCCTTATCTATTCCTGAGCACCTTAAGCTTCCTTTGCCTTCAGCTGAATGCAGCTACCAAAAAGTTGGTAAAATCTTCAGGTTGTGCAGGCAAATGCAAGTGATAAAGACTGTAACATTCACAGTGTCCCAGACACTTGCTAAATATTTTCTTGTTTTAATTTCTTATGATTTGATTCTAGCAATGTAGTAATGACATTACAATTACTATTGATGAAATATTGAGAAAAACTGCTTAAATGGATATTATTTTTAGCTGTTTTGAAAGCTATACTTTTTCATCCTCTACTATTAATTTTCTTAATGTTTCCTGCTGCCATTTAATTCATTTGCTGTGTTTATCATCATCTTCATTAACTCTTGTAAACTGCCTTCAGTCAGTTACTCCTGCATTTTGCTTATTTGTAGCCAGGCTTCAGATCATATTCTGTGTGCACAGAAAGCTTGGTTGACACACACTTTGTGTGACTCAGAAATGTCACARTGTTCTGTGTCTGGTAGAAGTGTAATGTAATTTGTAAAGAGAATTAGTAATTCTCTTTGCAAGAAAAAAAAATTAAGTATTGTGACAGATTTCTGGTAGACCTTCGGCCATTTGTTTCAAGGCAAGTAGATATTTCAGAATTACAATGAATCCATTCATACATTCTTTTTGTCAGTGCACAATTATCCCATATGTTGCATTTTAATAACTGTGCAAGTTAGGATTTTAGGCTGCTTGCAAGGTAGGATTTTAGGCTGCTTGTGGAGATTTTTTTTCTTTTTGGTTGGCTTTTGTTTTCCATCCCTCTTAGGTAGCTGCAGAAATGGGAATTTTAGATGCCCAATAATTATGCTTCTCAGTTAGGGAATGTTGTCATCAAGAAATTTTATCTAAAATAAAAATGAAAACYTTTTAGGAATGTAGAATTGCAAAAGATCCACTTTTAGTAGTGACCTGGAAGAAAAATAGAAAATCTATACCTGGGAGCATTTTTATATTTCATATTTCATGGTAATTTCGGTAATCTAAAAAAGTTATTTTATTTCTACAGTATCTCAGACTTTGAGCCATGAGCAGTCAGAATTTGCCAACATATATCTATTTAAACTGTTATTGTAATGAATATTGTAATGAATCTGCATAACATATTTCAGGTGAMAAGGTATTTTGAAATTCATGTTGGAGCTGGATCCAAAGAATCTAATACAAAGAGTCTCACAGAGTTGAGATTTCACAATAAGCTAGAGAAACCAATTTGGGGAAAAAAAAAAAAACCAAGTTCAGAAATATTGAATTTTGGTTATCTTCATGTRCTCTGGATCAGATGTTTTCCAGTGATAATCTGCAAGTGTTCTCCAAGTACTTAGGGTCTTACAGGCTTAAGCACTTTCCAGTATAACAGTAATAAACTTATGTACTTATTTACATTTTGTGCTGTGCATATTTTGTTTTATTGTCAAGGATTGGGACCATTAATTTCCATTATTGCAGAAAACAAAAACTTGAAGTGATTATTTTCCTTTAAAAATTTTTGTTACAGACCATGCAAATTATTGTATATAAGAATCATTGTGAGGAGCATAAGGAAAAATGCTTTTACATTTTTGAATTACTTTGTACTGCACTCACAGAGCTTCCAGTTTCTGTTGCTTTTTTTTCCCTTCTTCATTTTGTATGCCTGTGGATGACAATTTAAGAGTGTAGCTTAAATGTAATTAGTTAGACCTTTTTTAAAGACAWATGAAGTTATTTTTAAAAAGTCTCTTATGTTTCAAATTACAGTTTGATTTACAAAAACTGCGAATCTACTGTGACCCAGAGCAAAATAACCGAGAAACAGTCTGTGAGATCCCAGGATTTGTGAGTATGATAGATGACTTTCTGAGGATTTGTTGGCTTTTTTTACAAATCATTATTTAAAGCTAAATTATTAATGAGTTCTTAAAGTATGTAAGAATACGTTGATTTAGGTGCTGCACACAAATGCTTTTTACTATGCAGGATCATTCMAATGACCTGGAACTTCTCTTATTCTGAGCCTTATTTTAGCACAAGTGTTTTTCCTGACATAGGTAGCATAACAAACTTTAATGTTAATTTAGATATTTGRTGTTGCAAATTTGACAATAGTATAGAATAATCTCAGAATCTTACATCACAACTTCAGGATTCAAATTTTATGAATTAATAAAAGAACCAGATTATAACAGTATAAAGTATTTTAACTATTATTTAATGTGTCTAATATACTCACCAATATATTGATACTCACCAGGAGTTCATTTAATCTCTTTTTTTTTAATATAGCCAGCAGAACCATCTTTTACATTTTTTTTTTTTTACTATTGTAACTACCTGTATTGAAATCTGTGTTAAAACTCCACTTGAGTGAAGTGATGCCAAGACTTCATAAAGTGTGTTTTGGATAATAGAAAGCTGAAAACCAGTCCAGCTCATGCTTAAGAGTCTGCTTTAGCCTTTCCCTTTTATTTAGAGTTAATTATGCAATGAAATGTAAAACACATGTGAACAGATTTTCAAAAGGGGTCAATTCTCTTTTTAAAATACAGAGAATTGTTTTATATGTGCAGTTGCCTTGAAAATGCCATCCTTTCAGTGATGTTTGAAAATACCAGGTTTAAAGATAATCAAACAAACACCAGTGTCTTAGAATGTAAAACCATATTTTGCATTTTGCATTTTGTTTTGACTCGGTCTAGTATTAGGATGATTTTGCGAACTTGGTAGCAAAACTTGTGATTCTTCACCATGCAAGYAGTTCCTTTTCTGCCAACTCTTGTATAAATCCAGAACCAACTTGTCTTGCATCTTTTAAATGAGGCCCAGTTTGTCCATAATAATCAGTCAGACAGTGTAGCACTCGTTAAGACCCACATATTAACTGCCCCACATATTTTTACAGGATATCCTATATCATGTAGGATATGTAAAGTAAACACATGAAAAAATATTGGCATTATAGAAAATRAACACTCAAAACCCCATCAATATTTTGACAAGAAGTCAGAGAAAAAAAGATTGACTTTTGCCAGTTGAATTTCACTTGCTGTTATAAATTAAATTTGGACTTCACCCATGAAAATTCTGGGTTGAAATATTTCAAAAAATAAATATGTTGGATACTGTCTGAGGAAGTAAAGCAGCAGCAAGGTATATATGGTTTGTGGTTATATTCTGATGGACTGTGTTTGTGTCAGTGTCTTGAAACTAAGCAGGGCCTTTATGTGCTAAATATGGCCTGATTTCACCCTGCTACCCGGCTCCCAGGATGAGGAGTTGTTTTAAGCTCCCTAAAACGATGGAGGAAAGTAATCTCTAGAGGTTGCCTAAGATGTAGGCGGGATAGAGAGGGAACTGTCTCTCCACTGGCTGTGGATGAAATCCATGGTGACTGTTTGCATCAGTCTCCTTCCTGTGCATGGTACAAGTGATGGGATTCCTAAATAAGTAAGACCATTTCAGAGTTGGCATGCTGAAATATTTGGGGACACATCATTCTGTAGTATTGCAGACACCAGAAAACTCACTTCAGTTCATAGCAGCTTCATAACATCACATGGGAAAGCAAGTCAGGAATAAAAAACAACCCTACCTCTGTGTTGCCATGTGTTTTCCTAGGTGCTGGATGCAGGTTGAGATCACAAAGTTTTGTAGTGTTGTGGTACATTTCTTATATTTAAAGTTTTTAGATCTTTTGTAGYTTGCCATGTCCATGTTATGGTACCTTCTTGGATGTGAATGAATAAGCAGAGGATTTAGTTGATGAGAAATTACTTCTGGCAAACAACTTGACACAAATCTAAATATATAGTGTATAAATGCTTGCATCATTTGGTTTTATTTTTAGTTTTGTCATTTCCTTTAAAAACTGCTGCTGTTGAAGAACTCTTAAATGTGCAGCATATATTTGAGAAAGTGTGAAATGTTGAGTTGTAATTGCTTGGCAGTTAATGCCCCAAAATTATGAGGATTTGTGTTAGCGTTTGCAAATGAATGGATTTTGCTTATTACAGATTTTGCTGTTCTCTTAAACTATGTTTCTTCTTGTTTCAGAATGGAGAGGTAGGCTCAATCCTAAACTGCTCACTCAGTTTAAGGTAGTATTTGACTTTCTATAAACTTATTATAATTATAGGGAAGATATACTACATTTTGAAAAGTGGACAGAGGTTTGCAACATTTTAAATTCCTAGAGTGTCATGAATTGAACGCAAGTTAATATATAAATTCAAAATCAGCCTTCTGAATAAACCCATGTTTATTAGCATAATTTGTTTGTTTGTTTGTGTGTTTTTCAATTCAGTTGCTCTTATTTGCAGGGCTAGATGCTATTGCAAAATGAATGGGTATATGCAGAGTCAGGTCGCTGTTCCAGCATCATGTGATCACGTGAATGGGTGCTAATAAGAAAGTTTAATATAATAGTTCCCTTAACCACTCTGATAACTCCATTCGTGCTTGGTGCTGTTGCAAATAAAACATGGATTTGAAAGTGAATATGAAATTAAATATAAATCTGTCCCTCCACACCCTGGGTTCCTTACTTTCTGCCTTGGCATAGTTCTAAGCACTTGCTGTATGAAAGAGGATTCAGTGATTCCACCATTGATGTATGAATTCAGTGCCAGTGCACCTAGGTTTTTGATTCCTTACTTTGGATAAAGGGACTTCAGTTCCCTGCCCTTAGCAGTTTTCTCCTCTGCACTCCCACTCTGTGACTGTCATAAAACACTTGAGTTTCTTGTGACATCCCTGGAGGGAAGTAGATCCCTCAGAAAAAAATATCTGCAGAAGGTGACAGTGTGACAAGGTCTATTGCTGCCACTGTTTGCAGTGGCAGCAAAGTGGTCATAGACCTGAGTCAGGTCAGTTAATGCTTTTTGGAGGAGAGGCAGCTCTGAGCAGGGGTTGGGAGCTGTCAGGAACACGAGAGTAGCAGCCATGTCCCTTGTATCCTTGGTGGTTGGACACTTGTCCAGGAGGTGGGACACCTGAGCTCCGAGTTCTTTTCAGACTTGACCCACGTGACAACTAATGYTAATCTCAGTATCATGCTAATCTCAGTATCAGTTGTGGTCAGTTTCCTCTAAGTAACATTTTTTTAGTTTTTAGGTTTTTTTTTTTTTTAAGTTTTAAATACTGATACTTGCATTTTTGGTCACCCTGTAAGTGATGGCTGTCCAGTAGTTTTGGAGAAAGGTTTTACATGTTGGTAGGTTGAAAACTGTCAACAAACATTTAATAAAATATTTGAGGAAGAAAAAAGCTGGTTTCAGAAGTCAGCCCAATAGAGTTAATTATTTATTTATTTTTCTTCCATCAAGTGATGGATTTGTTCATTCAAAGTTGTTGGGGGTGGAGGGGATAATATTTAGATAAACAGAAGTTCCAACAGAACAAATGTTTCTGTGCAACCTAAGGGGGATCAGCTTGGTATAATATTGTATTTGCTGAACATTTTTGGCATGTGTATTGATGATTGGTCTCACTCTTGRTAGTGTATGAATGGTCCTAGTGACGTAGGCTCAACACCTGCCCCCTGCATATGCCCACCAGGAAAACAAGGACCTCCAGGCCCCAAAGTAAGTTTCTAGGCTTTCTTATTAAACCTAGTATTGCTGGAGTGATAATAACTGCTTATACTCTGTGTAAAGACACATTATTCCATATACATTCCCATTTCATTCATTATAACACATCTCTGGTTTGTATGTGAAGTCACCCTGTGAGCCAGTTAGGTGGTTCCCTTCCTATGTCCTTCCTGACAGTGACAATTCTGAATCTGTAAAGGAGCTGAGAGCCTYGTCAGGAACTGGGCTGAAGAACAGGATTTAATCTCCTGTAGAAGTAAAAGGCTTTTATGAGCCAAGTCTAACTGGATTTTGTTGGTCCCAAATCAAGTCCTTATGTTAACTAAACATAGAAGACATAAATGGACGCTAAGAGGATATACTGAGTAGGAAGCTATGTTCTTACTGTAAACATGATGTCTCAGGAATGGAGTTTTGTTTTTCCTTTAGTATGATCACGCTAAAGGCTACCGATATAGTTGCTAAGATAGTCTTATAAGAATTGCAAAGTAATTCCTTTTTTGTTGTTGTTTATGTAAAAAAAAAAAAACAACTAAGCGATAAATGTGCAGGGAGGAGCTTGTTATTAACAGATTTGGATCCTGACTCTGGCTTTCCCATTTTTTTTGACTGTAAGAGCTAGACTTGGCCAAATCTTTGGTAAAGAGATGGAAGTTTTGTCAGAGGAGAACTGCTAGAGTAACAAGGTTTTAATAGCAATTTTTTTTTTATCTATTTGGTGAAAAGTATTTTTACTTCTCTTGTTGAGAATGCTAAAAAGCTTGAAATCATATGACCCCAAGGGCCAGATGTGCAAGGAGACACTGCACCTGGGCCAATGTCTCCATGTCCTGTGCAAGGCACTCTGGAGGGCTTTCCCGTGTGGTTTGGGTTATGAAATGCGTTGCTTTTTGCTGTAGGAACAGTGGCAGGTAACTCTYTTTGCAGCCACAGTTTGCATTAGGATTAGGATTAAGGTAGCACTCTGCTAATATTAAACTGCTGTCTCATGTCCTTTGTGTATTAACATATTATATCCCTATAGGGTGACCCTGGGCAGCCCGGGAATCATGGTTATCCTGGACAGCCTGGTCCAGATGGTAAGCCTGTGAGTACTAAAAACTTAGTCATATATTGAAACTGTAAACTAACAGGAAGAAGTACATGTATTATTCATATCAGAGTCTCAAATTCAGATGATTTGGTTGCCAGTTTATGAAACTGTGAATGTGATTTAAGCTCCACCTAAATGTAATGAGTCTATGAACATGTTAATAACAATTTCTTTATTTCGATCAAAAATATGTGAATATGATTGCATGAGTTTAGGCACTTTTGTAAAGCAGAAAACAGTGTGAGTGCTCCTGGTGGTCGTTATGTCATTTCATAGCAGTTATCACCTGATCTTTTACTGCTTGGATTTTTTGAWTTAGATTTTTCTGTTTAGGACAAGGAAAATCCTGTCCATTTTGTTTTATGGATTGCATCTCATGTTTAGGCTTAACGCATATAATTTCTTTTGGTCTGAGTCCTGTAGCAATAACCAATAAAATATATAGCTCTACATAATGTTAAACATACAAATATTTTGTGGTACTACGCATTATGTGCTAAAACAAGTCACAAAATGTCTGTATATTTCTCTCACCCTAAACTGTACTTTTTAAGCTGGCATTGAATTTGTGTGAATGATAAAGACCAAAAGAAAGTAGATGAGTAACAGATGTCCCCGAAATAAAAATGACCAATTTGGCAATGGTGAGACTGGCCTTCGTGACTAACATGTTTTTATTGTGATAAATTTTAACAGAATACATACCATATATTAGGATAGTCAGCATTTTCATTTTAAAGTATATAGCAGCTAAGCTCTTGACCCCTGAACTCCTCATTTGGGCAAGACCGGATTGAGAACCTTCAGCCTCTCTTTCTTTTGATGAGTAAATCATATACTTGAGTTCCTAGGATGTTTTTATCTTACTCAATTCTACATAGCTAAAAAAAAAAAAAAAAGAAAAGAAAAAAAAAGAAAAAGGCAGTGAAAGTGAGTAACTGCATATGTATGCCTATGAGTTTGGTCATGCAGGTCATGAGTCTTCTCTAGGAGTGCTCTGTTCATGCTTGGTAAGAGGAACCTGAACAAGATGACCCAAAACACTCGGAAGTTTAAGTGGATGTGTGCAGAGAAGACACAATCCATTAGGCAAGAGACATTGCCATGGATGGGGGAACCAACACTCCTTATTTTTTTAGTGAGAATTAGCAGTGTTCTCTTATTTGGGGCTATTTGATCATGCTTTACAAAACAGACTGCAGAAAAAGGCAGCAAAGAGCTAGACTGGGCCTTTCAACTTAGTTCTCTGTGTTAGCAATCGTTCTGTCCCCTAGAAAGATTGATGTTGTAGCTAATGATGGGTCTTACCCAAATCYGTGCTTGCTTACCAATCTTAGTAGTTCTTCTTGCTAAAAAGGCAACACCTGTCAATTTTGATGACCTAATAAAAACACCTCACATTCTATTTTTGTTAAGAATTTTTAATACATTCTGTTTCTGTGTCAGCTAAAGATGGAAACAGTGAGATTTATGCTTACTTGGAAGTGTGTATGTTTTAAAGTTAATAAATATTGTCAGAAAGGGAAAGCTCCATGCTGCACTGTATAAAATGTTCACATTTCTCTTATTTTGTTGCTTAGTTACATTTTGGCCTTTTGTTATAGACAGCAGATGCTTGATTTAACTATGACTATTCCTTTGAAAGCAAGGTTTGTATGAGTGAGAAAAATAGCAACTGGAATCAGGAAATTTACTTTTTTTTTTCTTTTTTCTTTTAGAAATAAGTAACTTACTATTTTATAAAATAGGGTTTGGTAAATTGAGACCTTGCTATTATGGATAGTTGSTGAGGTGGATAATTCTGCTCTCCAGTTTCTAAAATGTCTGGACTCTTTTTTTACTCTTTTGCTTTGGTTCCTATCAGATTTTGATGCCCATTGCCTTGGAAGTATTTTTGAACCAACAATAGAGGTAGCCTTCTTTGAACTGAGATTGACAGTGCTATAGAATGCTGATTCTAGAAAATAATGAAAACACAAGTTTCAGAATGGGGAAGGGTGGAAACTGAGCAATTTCAGAAGAGCAGTACAGTTCTTCAGTACAGAGACAAGTATACAGACTGCCTCAGCCAGGACTTGCATGGGGGGCATTGGGCATCACAGTTTCACTGAGGGAAACGCTACAAGCAGAGCTGCAAGTGGATAAGCTTTGCAGAACTTAGTGTTCAATCCAGCTGACTTCGGTGCTGTGAAAAATAAATGATATGGTTTAGATACTGTGTAGTCTGCGGAAGCTGGAATCACCTGGTATTTGCAGAGAAGCATCCATCACTTTCCTAAAAGAAGAGATAAACACTTTATTTTTTAAAGTGTCCGGTAATATGCAGTTGGAATGGTTTTTGAAGGAATCTTGTTATTTAGAAAAAAATCTGTTATTTAGAATGAATTATTTTCAGACATTCATGAAAACAGATTTCCACTTCAGTGCCACATACCTTCTCATAAGCACAGAAATATGTAATAGTGTGAATTACAGAGGAGAAATAAATTAATTCTATAGACTTTCTGTATATGTTTTTTTTTCCTTTCTTTCTTTCTTTTTTTTTCCTTTTTTTCCTGCAAATGAGTCATAGTGTGCAAAGAAGGGCATTCTGTGAACATGGAAAAGATTAACAAAACTGTCTCAGGCAATTACAATAGAATCAACTGGAATCAACACACCCTGCTAGTGGAGAGAAAGATTAAAGTTTAAACTTTGCTGAACAGAAGGTAATGTTGTTTTAAAGGACTGCAGGTTAAATCCGTTAGTTTTATCTTTCTGAAAAATCAGATATGATTTTTTGCACTTGTKCTTTGCAAGGACATAATTGCAAACCTATTAGATCATCTGCAGCTCGGGCCAGTGTATTATTGTTCCTTACAGTAGGATTCTTGAGCGCTTTCCAGCRTTGCTCTTAGCCGTGAACCATGGGAGAGACCTTTTACGTACACTTTCTTTTGCTAATGCTACTTTACAGTTTATCTGTGCTGTCAGTGATTTTCCTTGTTTGAGATGACTTTACTCATTTGAATCTCTTTAACTACATCTCCTCGGGGGACACTGAAAAGCAGGCTATCAATTCAGACAGCACAGGCTTATAGGTAGCTAGTCAGCCTTGCTTGATCAAGTGGCTTTTGCATGAAAAGCTTTTCCTGGAAAGTGAGTCTTTTCTGTTCCCAAACACATTTTTGTGTTCTTCTCTAAACTTATTCCAGTTTGCCTATCTGGTATTCATTTTCTCTGAACAGGATGACTGCCCAAGAAAATGTTTCTGTCTCTCAGAAAGGTTTTGGGCATATATTGCTATATGCAATTGATTTKTAAAGGAGCAAAAAAAAAAAAAGTTTATTGCTTGTGGGCTGGCTATATCTTTCTAGCACATATAGTTAGTTTTAGTGTGGAAAAATTTAAACCAATTCTCCTGAATATGATCAATAATAATATAAAATAATTGTCCTTGTTTTATTTGTTCTCCAAGTAAAATCATATGCTGTAGTGTTTGGGGAAAATGATCAAAAACATGAATCAAAGCCATATAATATTATTTTTTTWAAAAAAGTTTTGATTTTAGTTTTTTTCTTTAATCACTATTTATTTTATATACTTTAATATATACACAAAGGATCTGTTGAAATAACTGGAGAAATTAGAAGTTTGATAACAATAATAAAAATACATTTGCTATTAGTCAAAAACTGCAGTCCTAACCTGAAATGATTAAATTGTTCTGTCAGAAGAAATATCACTGGTAAGTAAGGATGGTGGTAAAAAATAGTATTTGGATCTCTTTGGGATCTTATTTTAATGGGCATTATTCATCAGAAAGCAGCAGCTGGCGTGTTTACGGGCCTGGAGAATACTCAGCGGCCTCACTGTGTGGTCACAAAGCCATTTTTTATTCCAAAGGATACTCTAGACATACTGAGGAAAAACTCTAGGAAAAACTCTTAAAAAAAAAAAAAAAAAAAGAAAGAAAGAGAGAGAGAGAGAATGCAGCAATCACTTGTGGTTACTAAAGGGGATAGGTTATCAGTTTGTTGAAATAAATGAAAAATATTTGTCAGTTTTGAGCTACATGGCTGACAAGTCTGGGGAATTTTCCAGTATAYCATTAGTTTCATTCGTGTGCGTTTAGAACTATTTGCCTTTTCTTTACAGTGTCTGTGAGCAATAAACAGTTTAAAATAATGTGGTGAGACTGACTTTACTGATATATCCAGATGGACAGTTCATAACATATCAAAAGTCTCACATAATAAAATAATTTTGGATTATTTCAATACCTCTTGAAAAAATGCAGAATATTTTATAGCTGTGCTGCATACAATTTATTCATATTAGTTGGCTGAATGAAGATTGAATCTTTTCTTATGTACTTTGTATAAAAGCCAGTCGTTTCAATGGTACTCTTGAAAGAAAAAAAAAAAAAAGAGCAGTGGTTTCACATATACATTACCTGTGGCCATTGGATGATCTATGTCGGAATTTCAGTTGATTAAAACTCCACAGCTACATTTTTCAGGAAACTTTTCACACACAGATTTGAGAATGCACTRTAAAATGGTGCTCTCTGATCTGGAAAAACAAGAACAAACCTCTTCAAGCCATACTTSATGGCCTTGTGTTTAGTAATCTTGCTGGGTTTTTTCTTGTGTGTGTGTTTTGCAGCCGTGTGGATGTTTATYGTTTGGAGCTGGGCTCGGTGAAAGCACGAGGCTGGTAGAGCTGAGCTGTGAAAGCCTTGGCCCATGTTGGCACAGCCAGTGGAAGGAGATGTAATCTAAGGGAAGAGTGAAACAGCCAAGAGAACCCAGGGCAATGAGCAACCTTACTGTTCCATAATAATGTTCATGGGTTAGCAATTGTTTGGTCAGGAGTCCTCCCCTCAAATGAATTTGGGAGGGTAAAAGCTCCATTCATTTAGCCTTTTGATCCAGTGCTGAATCCGACCATCATTTTCATGTTTTAATATACGTAGCTGTAGGGGCATCWTTGCAGAGATAGTCCTGGTACTCTTTGGAAGTAGATGTACATGAGGAGTCCTAGTACTGGCCTCCAGCCATGTAAGAGACGAAGGACAGAGGATCTTGGACTTGTCCCTTGGTGTCCTGAGGTACTAGTGGAACTGTGAACTCTAAGAAAACCCTGGAGAAATGAGGAAGGCACATGGTGTAAAGAGAGGACCAACTGGCTGTTCAGTGTGTCCAGAGGGGTAGGAATAAAATAAGAGCAGTAGACAGATATCTATGTAAAGCATGGAAAGCGGTTGGGGAGGGTTTTGGGGGGAAGAGAGGAGGAAAGAAACTTCTTGAGGGAGGAAGGAAACAAGACCTAGGGCACAGATATCAGGAGATAGACAGTTCCTCTAATAAAGACTAAAATCCTAAATTCAAGTACATTAGACACTTCCTAACATTTCTGTGGCCTTACATGACTAGTTTTATTTGCTATAGGAATATTGCCTGGGAGTATTTAGGATATACCATGACCATGCATTTGAGTTATGGATATCTGGTGAGCAACTATAAGACTTTCTCACCTAGAATATGTAACGTATTTTGTAAAAAGGTATGAAAAGGTTCTCTTCTTTTGCATTAGATAGTTGGGTTTAAAGTGTATAAGTGTTTTCCACAAGGCACTTTCACAGTTGCAGGGAGTAGGCATCTCTGTTAGGATATTTTCCTAACATGAAGTCAGAATTTTCTTTCACAGTTGAATTCCATTATGCTTAGTTACATCACCCGAAATAGTTCTGTTTACTTGCTGTTTACAGTCTTTAGATATCTTTAGACTGTTACTGTTGATCCTTGGGTATTCCTAGCAAAATTACATTTGTTTGCTTTTTCTTCCCAAGTCTTGCCCAAGCAATCCACTTGTCATCCTTCTATCGTGTGTGTGTGTTGGTGGATAGCTTTTCAGTAAGAAAGTTAGCAGAGCAACCGGCACTACCTTATCAGGACCGCCTCTTTTTATTTATTTTTTATTTTTGTTATTTTAAAATTTCTGTCACGTGATTCACCCATGAATACTGTCTGAATTTCATCCTTTAGCTATGCAGGGGTAAAGAAGATAAACTTCTGAGATTTAATTTACTATTGCAGTTTAAAGCTCTTTACTTGTCCTATGTCCCTCTTGCTCGTTTTTTTACCCTGTAGTTTCCCCTGTAGTAAATCTCAGTTTTCTAAATATGCTCCTATTTCCCTGCCTATGTCAGTGTTGCTAATTTGTCTATGCTCTTTATATAATTTGTTTTGCCTGGATAATCCTTACATCTATTTTTTTTGCCGTTATTTGTAAATTATTGTCATTTCATTCAGATATTCAAATTACTCTATATTTTGTCTCTATATTTTTTAATACCCAGCCATTTTGTGTAAAATTAAGCCTGTCAGATTCTGCTGTATATTCATGTTCTGAGGCATTATAGGTGGAATTCAGTTTAAGAAAGTTTAAGTTAAATTTCAGTTTAAGTTCATTTAGTGTTTACATGTATACACAGGTACTGGGTATCTGGTCCCTATATTAGTTAACAGATAATTATCTAATATACCCCAAAAGTGCTATGATTCAGTTGCCTAAATATAGGCAACTAGTGTCATTTTGTTTATCCTAGGGTGCCCTGTCGTGCCTCCAGCTGCTGCTTTAGACGGACAAATTCCTCCTGCAGATTTTGTGCCAGTATCTCCTAGYACTGCACAGGAGTCTGTATGTGTGAAATGCAGGCAGAAAACATAGGGAGCTGGATCCAGAACTGAGTTTCAGTTTCAGGTTTAACTATAACAATTTCATACCTTTTGTATGTTTGATGATTTCATGAGAGAAGTAAAAAAAAAAAAAAAAAACAAAAAAAAGGAAAAAGAAGCTATTTTGTGACAAATTTGATGACTTCACCTTATCAAAAAGTGAATCTACAATTCCAAACTGGAAAAATGTCAGATGAAGAAAGAACTTTCACTTCTATCCCTTTTACATAAAATATAAAATGCTGTGGCATAACTGGTAGTGGTGGGGTTTGTCATGCACGTTCTCCTGCTGAGGGCTTAGAGACGGGGGAAAGAGGACATAAGCTGACTTTACTATCAAGAAAGATAGACTTTACCTAGACTTTAGACCTTAGATTTGACCAAGACTTTAGCATATAGGTTGACTACCTGCAAAAGACTTGTTGTTTAGGATATAACTGTTTTTAAATTGAGTAATGGATAAGCATACAATGAAGGTTATTTATGGGGACAGAAGAAAGCTATGTGAATAGGTAGCAGTAAAGTAATATGCCATTCCTGACACCCATCTGACAAATGGGTTATTGTAGAAAAAGGTAATCAGCTTTTATGAAAGTGAGTTGCCAGAATTTATAAAAGGTGTTTTCAGTTTGTCAAAACAGGGTTTATCTGTCACGTCGATTCTCATGTTCTGAAATTTCAGGGAATTTCCTTTTGAATCTTCTGTGTTCCAGCTTTCCATTTCACAAGCACACTGATAATGTGTTAGACTTACTGTAAAATCATATTGAAAGACCTAGCTAGAGCTAGGTTTAGACAGTTTTGTAACCTGAAAACTCTTCTGCCATTCTCCATTCATCTGCCAAATTTTGAAATTCAGTTCATTCAGGAAATTATCCTTCTCTCTTTCTGCAAGTGCTCAGTGAGAAGGAAAAGGAAGGGAAATTGCATTTCAGAGATCTAAAATGGGAAATAAAGTTTTGTTTATATAGGCCTGTATCTTACAGGAAGTTGTACACACTTTTTGCTTTTTTTTTGGAGCAGAAATAAAAGGAGAAACATTTAAGAAAGTATTTTTGGCTTGGTGAATTGTTTCAGCTACCCAAGAGGCTTATAAGCAAGCTGGGAATGTTACTGCGTTTACAGCTAAAGCAGATTTTGCTGGAGCTGCCTTGGGCAGTAGGAGTGAAATGCCTGATAAAGGATCCATGTATGACAGAGACCTAGAATTTTGTTTACTTCTGTGCTAAACATTACCAGCTGCCCCTCCAAGCATCTGCTCAGCTGTCTTCTGGGAAGAGGGCATGGCAAATAATTTTAGCTCTATTTATTATTTCTAGTCAGGTCTGATAGAAAGAACAAGCCAGACATTTGCCGCCCTTGTAAAATGGTGCTGTTATCTCCTTGTGCTCATGTGGCAGTGGCCGTTAAACTTTGTGCTGTTTTTTTTTTTTTTAAGACTGAAAATTCATTTAAAAATGAAAGTGTTAATGCTTTCAGATCAAATAAAAATAAAATTATGGGATTCCTGAAATTACACAGTCCATTTTATGGCATTTATCAAATGAAATAAAGTTTGCATGTAGTTTGAGCTACCTGTTCAAGCTACCTGTGAGGCCAAATAGCCTCAGAATTTTATAGGATTTTTTTTCCCAGTTTTCATCTTTCTCACAGACAAAAAAATACTTCTTTGTAGCTCATTTTTGTCCATTAGAATCACATGTGTTTTGGTGGAGTTTGGCAACCCCACTTTTCTTCAATCACCTGCTCATATTAAAGTGTTCCTCTATAACATCATTAATTTTGTATAGAAAGAAATGTCTTCCTACAAACATGAGCCATGAGCACACATTTATGCAATTTACTAAAGCAGCTCGGCATGTATTTTAGGTTCTGTTAAGATTGTCTCTTTCTGACTGATTTTTAGTGAAGGGTTCCTAAAAATCTCTCCCTAACTTGCAAATTATTTCTTTTTCTAGTCCCAGAGACTTAAATTATTTTTCAATTTGAATAGCCTGTTACATACCTTTAAGTTCATAGATAAGTTCGTGGTATTCAGAATGGAATGCTTATTATTTAGAGACATTATAAAACTAGCTGCATAATGTATTAGAACATACGCTGTTTGTTAAAGCTTATTCCTGAACCTAGAAATATAAGCCTTTAAAAGCCCAGGCATTCTTTAGTTATTGTTGCGGAGACCCAAAAAAAAWAAAGTATGTGGGTCAATTTGTGCTTTTCTTACAATGGAGAATAAAACAATACATTTGTTACTTTCTCATGTAATAATTCTAAAGAATATATATTTTTTTGCTGCCTGAAAAAAACACTTTGCATAAAACACAGAGGCTGCAGATTTCAGATGCAGAGATGAAAGCTTCCGATAGCTGACATCTAAATCTGGGATAAAAGATTGTGATAGCAGCTATTGAAAACTTGGTGCCCTAAAAGGCCAATTTCTTTAATAACTAGGAGGATTGTTTTTTTTTTTTCCTCAAATAATTGTTGGGTATTTGTGAATATAACTTATGAAAAGTTACAAGTCTTCATCTCCTTTCATTAGGGATATCAAGGATCAGCTGGAAATCCAGGTATTCCAGGAACACCAGGAATTCAAGTAAGTTCCTGTTTCATTCCTTGAGTCTGGAAGTCTGAGGCAAACCCTGTGAATTCGCTCTTTATTTTCACCCTTTGTCGCTGAGAATGACACATCAGTCTCTGTGTCATATACTTAGATTTGTGGCCTCATTCCTGATTAAAATGTATTAGTACTTTAAGCTGTTCTTCATTTTTTTTCCCTTTTAGGGACCACGTGGCTTACCGGGTACCAAGGGAGAGCCAGGGAAAGATGGGGCTAAGGTAAAAACAAAAAAAAATCAGCAACAACAAAACCACGAATGTTATTCTTACCATTTTTTGGTTGGTACAATTAATAGTCTCCATGTTTCCATATGAAGCTTCTGTGAAAGCTGCTTGCTAGAAAGGTAGTAGAATTCTAAATTTAGAATACTCTTTCAATTCTACATCTGTCTGCTTTATTCAATAAAGTTTATATAGACCTTAACACTGCCAGTAACACCTTTATTGCACTGAATAATTTATATTTAGAAAGCATATCTAAATATGGTTATCGGGAAGCATGATACAGATATCTGTCAGAATAGCTACTTTCTATCTCTTTTTGACCTTATTAATGAGCATCCAGACGAGCTGTGTAACAATTTTTGGATASCATTTTTCATCAGAAAATACTGACTAATTGAAACCAGAGTGTTCTGTGGAAAAAATCTTATGGAAGACATATGTGGAAGCTCATATGTAAGTCCCTTCTGATAATCAGGATGAACTTGAATCTGGATCTCCCATACACAGTGTATAAGCTAGCCACTGGCTGTTGGCAGGTCTCTTTGACATGTGAATATCTGTGCACACTCTTCCCTCGTGCTCTCTTACACTTTTTCCCTGTGAAAAGTATGTTTAGAAAAGTTTAAAGCATGTTTTGAAACAAGTTTGTTTATTGTTTGTTCTTTGTAAAATAAACACTTGCTTTCCAACCAAATTATACTGTAGAATTTCCTTCCTCTGGTGTTCCTAAAAGCAGATCCTTAAATTCCTCCCTTTTCAGCAGAATTCTCTAATGCATGGTTAAAGCTGAAAAATGTGCTTATGTGTTCCAGTGTTTTAGGGGTCTTACATTAATCTAATTGATCAGTCAGTACGGGGACATGTTCAGAGTCAGACATGTTCAGAGAGTAAGATATCACTGATGAAAACTACTATTCTTCTGGCAGTGCAGGGATTTGACAGATAGAATATTTCCTAATGTTTAGTCCAGCCTTGTTTAAAACGTGCCAAGGAATGGGAGTTCCACCACTTTTTTAGAAAACTTCCACTGTAAAGTAGGTCTTGCCATTAGAATTTTTTTCCTGATGATTCAGCCTAAATTTTCTAAATTTTGTCCCATTACTTGTAAAGTTTCTATAGCAACTATTTTAAAACTATTTCCATTGCCAAGTGTTTCAGTCTGTCCAATAATTAAACCACCATTTGCAAACCGAATTCAGGGCTCCATTCTTCTTGCAATAAGGATCAACGGAAGCGTGACGAGTTTATAAATAAACTTTGCTGACTTTTGGAATTACATTCCATTTGTATTGGCTGTTTGCAGTACTTACTTGTTGAGAGATATGGCTCACAGCATTAGCTGACAAGCTCTCATTTCTGTGGTCATGTTTCTGTCTCCTGTGAATATGTGACAGACCTCCAAATCTACTTGGGCGTGAATGGTTTTGATAAATACTGCTGAGGGGTCTTTGGCCCCAGACTTGAAATACAAAATCTTGAGCATGACTTAATATTTGTTTTTATGTTTGAAAGACACTGAGCAAATTGAAAACTATTGCACAATAAAAAGCTAGTAGATATTAACAGAGAGAAACCGTTGTGATTGGCCAAAATTATTTAGAGTTTGGCCTTGTATCCTGGCTGAAATATATTCATATACTGAAAAAAGCAACTTATCTTGCTTTTATTGTTTCAAACCACGTAGTGCTAAGTTATAATTTAGCCTTCTGCTATAATAGCTCAAGGGAGTTTGAAGGCAAATCATCAGATAAATATCTCCAGTACCAACAGCAAAAGCTTTGGGATCCTGACACCTGACACTTGTGAGGAAAATAGAAAGACCAGTATTATACACAGAGCTATCTGTTAATTTTTAATAGCTTTTGGAAGCTTCGGAAAAGGATTGGTTTGATTTTTCGGTTTGTATTTTCCATTGCCAACTGCTCTTACGCAGTGCATGCTTTCTTCCTCTGAAATGAGAACTCATCTATCAAAGTGCCTGAAGTTGTTTAATCAAGTTATTTTGGTTCTATTTAGTTTAATTTTTTGAGAAAGTACTTAATATTGAATACATTGCTCATCCAGAGTAAGCTGGTAAGAAATTTGATAAGATCAATAAGCCTGTCATATTTTCGGGAAGAGGTGGATGCAAATACATCCTGATCCTAGGGAATTTCCCTGCTCTTGTAACATGAGGAATGGAGATGTCATAACCAAACATGACATGACCAAAAAGTCATGATAAAGCAAGAAAGTATTGATTTTTGAGACATAATGTATCAGTGGCTTGGTTAGATCCTTCCTGCTTGTATAGTTTATATGTAAAGGTAGACCATACAATCTTAATTTTGAACTTATAGTAGCCTTATGAGCAGCTAAGCAATCCAGCACTTATCCATGGAAAGGCATCTTAAAATCCTCTTTGTGAAAATAAGGCATGGCATGTTAGAGATTGCAGAATGTTAGAAGCCAAATAAGGTAATAATTACCTGAAGACCAACAAGCTCTCCTCAGTCATCTTACCAATGTTGCATTGTTGATATGCTGGCACTTACTGTCTTTCCACTATTTGTTGAACATTTGGGTTATGAATGCTATTTTAATATGTTACTGTTATTTTAGAAATAAATTTTTCAAATATACTTGCTATTTTAGGGTGACCGTGGACTTCCTGGTTTTCCTGGATTACATGGGATGCCAGCACCAAAGGTTGAAATTAAATAACTTAATTGTGCTGTGATATTCATATATCTGACCTTGCTCTATAATTTAATTAAAAAAAAGAGTGACTTTATATACCATATAATGTTAGTGTATTTTCTTTAATACATAAAATCTATATCTGTAGATAGAATTCAGTTAGAATTGAAAGGTAATACAAGATATGGGCCTTAAATATCTATCAAYAGCAGTGTAAATTGCTGGGTTTTTTTCATTTTATCTTGTTTTGTGAATATCTTGATGTATTTGTAACATTTTTTTAAATACTGCATAAAACCTTCATCACATGCAATGTATCAAAAATATTAAATGATTAATGATATAATTGTCTTGAAGCTAGCACTTGAAGCCAGCACTTAAAGAGCTAAATTTGAATTTAGGTGCCTATGTATATGAAGTGGTGGGGCATTCCAAGTGCTTTGACCTGTCTTTCATTTTGGTCTCTTCCTTTAGGAGAGGTTGGAAAATTCAGAATGTGCTTTTACTGTCTTGTGCATATTTTTATAATATGAAATGCTGCTCTTTGTCCACTTAGTTTTAGGTCTGCTATATGTTTTTTTTTAAATATTTTAATATATATTTATATGAATAGTTGTATTTTAAAATAACTTACACATATTACTTTGTTTAGGGAGAACGGGGTCCTAAGGGAGATCAAGGAGTACCAGGAATATATGGCAAAAAGGCAAGTAAAAAAGAATTTAGATAAGGAAGTGACATTATTTTATTGACATTGTTCATATTTTAGAATAGATTTTATTCATCAAGAATTTGGTTCTGCAGTCCTAACTCAAAAAAACTTAAGCTGAAGACAATGCATATATTTTTATCTAGTCATACTAGGCTTTCATGCTCATCTTATATCTTGGAAAGTTTTTCTTTCTTCCGTCAACATATCTATATAATTCTTTTTAATACAAATTGCTTGTAAATATATTTTTGATTACAAATATGCTTATGGATCCTTATGAATAAGGATTTTGTATACTTGGAATAATTATATTGAAAAAGTGTGAGCTTTTTAATATATAGCAACGTATGTGCACAGTATAAAAAAGAGGGAGAGAGAAAAATAGAAAGGGAAGGAAAGGAGAGGAATTATATGAATATAGTAATGTTAGTGTACTAGAAAAAATACATTGCTTTATATATTATGAAAAATGACACATAAAGCAGTGTATGTATGAGAGATGATATGTAGGTTGTCCAGTGTGACACTTCCATTTTACCTGTCCTTACCCTTTCTTAATTTTTTTTTTATTAGTCTAGATTTTAATGCAAGTTGAAAGAGGGTCTGTGGTCACATTTCAATTTTTTTTGGAAGATATTTACATTTATGTAATGGATAATAATTATTGTTAGACTACTTTCTAAAGAACAAAACATATCCTCCATAAACTTCCAAAACAAGGAAATAACATGTGAATTATTAACTAAGTACTCTCAACATAAACATTTGGTTTGTGTGATTTTTCAGGGTTCAAAAGGAGAGAAAGGTGATACAGGATTTCCAGGAATGCCTGGGCGTTCTGTAAGTTCTATCAAGACAGCTTGCCTTTAATTTTAGCTTATTAGKTCATCTACTGATGACTGTTGATTATTGCCACAGGGAGACCCTGGCAGAAGTGGAAAAGATGGATTACCGGGGAGTCCTGGTTTCAAGGTATGTAAATACATCCAGTGAAGACAATACATCCTAGTGCACTCAGAATAATAAACTCCATTTGAAATATCACATACATTGTATACTGAGAATGGAAATTGGAGTTTTAAACACCCAAATTCTGCTCTTTCTATGGGTATAGCAGATACCTACATGACCTTTCAAGTCAGTGGAGTCTGGAGAGCAATTCAGCTTGGATAAAGAAGACTCGTAGGGCCCAGTTGCCTACATACAGGTTTGAAGTGCCATTTGAGATGTCTTAGAGCATCAAAAGCAACCCTACACGGGCTATCAAACATGACACAAGTGCTGTGGAAAACCAGTACCTTGTGAGTGTGAGTAGAGGCCAACCTTGGTATCTCAAATATGAGCAAATGTCTGTATGTGGGCAGTGAATTGAGCTCCTGGTTTAGAAAATGAACCAAGGATCTACAGACTGTCTTGGCTAGATTACTGTAGGCTGTTATGGGAGCCTGAGCACCTACATCTCACCTAAATGTCTTTATTTGAAATGGATCCTGGTCATTTTTCATATTATATTTGTGTATCTATGTGTGTGTATGCACATAGCTCTGCTAAGTGGGAGGAGAAATTCCTTCTCTGGTACTTATGGAAGAGGAGAAAGAAATAGATCTATGATAGTAATATGATAGTAATAATATGCTAATAATAATAACAACAATATAATATTAGTTATAATCATATTATTATATGGGATATATTAGATGCTTTTCTTATTACGATAATGACAGTATTAACTGTCAGTGGTGGAGTATTACATTGATAAAGCATGAATTTGGAGGATATGTTAAACTATTTTTTATCCTTTTAAACCATATTGAGTTATTTATGTAGTCTGTTGGCTGAATGAGTCCATCTATATTCAAACTTAAAGATTTTTCTCTTGGCTATTTTAYGTAATTTAAATACAGTAGTACAAAACAGTGCCACACTCATTAGTTTTCATTCATTTTGGAATATAATAGTTAACAGAAGCTGTATTCTCCATTCAAATCTTTTGTCAGCTTGACTTTAACATCTGTTTGCTATAAAATATTGCTGGGTCTGTTGTAACCAAATTCAAAGCACTAACTAACAGACTATCTTTGAAGGAAATTTCTGCTGGAGCTTTCCTGTTCTCTTATAGTATTTGTTCTGAGAAAGAAGGTGGGAAAAAAAGTGTGGCTTCAAACCCAGTTGCTACCCATTGTGGCTTCAAGACCAGTTTGTTAATTTTAAGTGAATTATTTCCAGTATTTCCAGTTCATTATATGTATTAATTCATCTGTTCATTTTTTTTTT